GGGGGGAGGCACAAGAGACTGACACACCTGGAAGAGTCAGTCTATCAGCAGAGGAGTCCTCTATATATACCCTCCTGTGTTGAGTTGTATTGTTCCTGTACTGTCTCCCTATAACAGGTAAACCCTATGCGTGCACGCTCGGGTTTATGTAGTGACGGTGTATACGCGCTGACAACAGTCTACAGCCATTGACATTGTGAGGCTGTAGGCTGCACCTGGGGCATTTACTGTGCACACAAGCCCCCTCCGTGTGCAAGAGCCCTTTAAGAGGCCGCAGATGAAGCAGCAGTGTAAAATTAGCCATCGGCAGGATCATGCTCCTTACTGCCGTATCTCTAATCTTCTGATCTGTGGGATATTTGGGGGGTTGGAAAGATACAAAAAGAAGGCAGTGAAGGGGTTAATCACCCAAAGAGCTGGCAATCAGTACCGGTTCCCATTGGGCCTTTAATCTCTTCCCTGCAGCAGCTCGGGTGGGAGTCCAGGTCATAACAGGAAAGGAGTGAGAAGCCGGCACAATACTCTCAGCGAGAGACGCTCAGGATTCCTCGTCGGGAACGTGTCAAGTGAGAGGAAGAGAAAGTTGCCAACTCAGATCTGTGGCCTGGCCCGGGGGGGTGGGCGAGGATTTCACGGGGCTTTTTGGGGAATTTTACTAGAAGAGATCACAGAGAACAGCAAAAACACGTTCCCATGGAAACGTCCGGCTATGGACATCACAAGGGCATGGAGAACCTTCACCGGAGGTGGTGACTGTGTCATTGGTGGGCCATGGAAGCCAAGGAAGGGTTCCCGTTATACATACCCCATCGCACTCCTGACCGCCATGTCCCTGATAGCCTCTTCTTGGTGGCAGCTGCAGCAACCAATGGAGGGCGCCGTGTATAAGGTGAGTCGCCGGCACTCCAAACTCTTGACCTTCACTCATATTATCATACAAAAACATGTCGTGCGATACGACCAAACACCGACAGGGACGTATGGTTCAAGACTTTGGCGCGTCGGCGACTCGTCTTCTGTTGAAGGGTCCCGGTCACGTATTCTGTGGACTCAACCAATGTTCACGGGAGCCGGGCACATCATTTACTGGGTGACCTCATTTCAGTCATGACGTTGGTGGTGAGTGGCGGGTCAAACTAAACTAAATAAACGCATGTCACCAGCACACCAATGGTGTTGAAGTCCAAAGTGTTCGTTTATTGGAACATCATGTCACCAGAACTAGCGCTTTCGGGGCCACGCAGGGTCCCCTTCTTCAGGCTCAGCAAGGGGCTTCCCTTATTTAATTTGGGGCTTCCCGGTAAGGTATTTCTACGTTTGTGGGCCAAACTAAAGCCTGGCCTTGACCATGGGATTCGGTTCTTCTCCTCCAACCTTCACCTCCTCCCCTTCACTTAAGCTCTAACGCACCTTGTTCCTGGTATCTGTGGCCGGATTCGATGACAGGTCCTCTTTGCCCTCTTCCTCCTCCGATGGTGGCACTCTCTGCAGCGTTTAGGATCTTCTGACCCTCGGAGGAGGAAGAGGGCAAAGAGGACCCATTCTCCGGTGTGCCCAGGGTGGTGGGCCAAGTCTTGACACCCTGGGCTCAGAGTGAGTTGAATGACGTTGGGGGCAGGGGAGTATCAGAAAGGAACTGGAGCGGTGAGCCTGTGGGGGGCGGCAGCACCAGATATCGGGTGACTACAGCAGTACATTCTCATCTAATCTGTGTTGGGCTATTGTCCTAAACTCCTAACAGGTGGACATTTCCCGTCTTTCTCTCATCACAGGTCCACCTATCTATGCCGGAGTGCGATGGAACCATACAACCAAACTCTAACCAGCTCCTTCATCCTTCTTGGCCTCTCGAGCGTCCCGTACCTTCAGGTCATCTACTTCCTGATCTTCTTCCTCATTTACATCATCACATTGTCAGGAAATGTTCTCCTCATTGTACTGGTGAGGACGGACAACCAGCTGCAGACCCCCATGTACTTCTTCCTCACCAACCTCTCCTTCATTGACATCTGCTTCTCCTCCACCATTGTGCCCAAACTCCTTGTAAACACCGTATCTCAGGACAGAAGCATTTCCTTCCTGGGATGCGCCTCGCAGATGTACTTCTCCCTGGCTCTCGGGGCCACCGAGTGCATCATTTTGGCGGTCATGGCCTACGACCGATACGTGGCCATCTGCATCCCTCTACGGTACCAGGTGATCATGCGCCGGAGCTTCTGCCTTTCTCTGGCCGCTCTCTCATGGACTGTCAGCTTCCTGAACTCTGTGATCCACGCCGTCCTCACCTTCCGGCTCCCCTACTGCAAGTCCAACCTGGTCCGGCACTTCTTCTGCGAGATGCCACCACTCTTCCGGCTCTCCTGCAGCGACACCTTGTTCAATGAAGTTGCCGTCTACATCTCCGGGGGGCTCATCGCTCTTTGCTCCTTCCTGCTGACCCTGACCTCCTATTTCCACATCATCTCCACCATCCTGACGATCGGCTCCAACAAAGGCCGATCCAAGGTCTTCTCCACCTGTGGCTCCCACCTGGCCGTGGTCTCCCTCTACTATGGCGCCATCGCCTTCATGTACCTACGACCTCGCTCCAGCTACTCCCCGGACCGTGACCGGGCAATTTCCATGCTTTATACCGTGGTGACCCCCATGCTGAATCCCGTCATCTATAGCATAAGGAACAAAGAGGTCAAAGGGTCATTGAAACGGAGGCTGGCCAGGAGGAGGTCTATGTGGTGCCATAGGACAACATACATCTAAAGCGGACCTGTCATCACATCTATGTACTCATCTCAAAGCCCAACTCCGGGACATGAGAAGCTTTCACTGGCAGTGGGGCGGCCCCATGAAGGGTTAAGTGCTTGTTTATGTCTAGAGGTCAGGAAAAGCTGTTTTAGGGTTAGTATAAGGATTGCCAGCTCCCCGCTCCCCTGGTGGTCAGCACTCTCCGCTTCCCATCCAGCTGGTGGAATGTTCCTCTATGTCCTCATGTACAATGCAGGTCTATGGAGCCATGAGTGAGCCTTAGACCACCAGAGCGAAGGGGAGAAGAGTCTGCAGTGTCTGGTCTATCAGCCTGGAGGGGGGTGGTCTATCAGCCTGGAGGGGGGTGGTCTATCAGCCTGGAGTGGGCGGTCTATCAGCCTGGAGGGGCCGGTCTATGAGCCTGGAGGGGCCGGTCTATGAGCCTGGAGGGGGTCGGTCTATCAGCCTGGAGGGGGGGGGTGCCGGCTCCGCGGTGAGTATAACTTTTTTTTAATACCTAGAAAAAAACAAGCACCTAACCCTTGCAGTGCCAGGACAGTCCCCCTGCAAGAGAAGACGTTTTGTTTCCCTGGAGTTGGGCTTTAAGTGCAGCATGCTGAGCGATGTGTCATGTGACCCTTCCAGATATGTACAACCTCTCACAGAGATCACATGACTCCCCCTGGCAATGCCTTCATCCTTCTTTTCTCTCCAGAAGCTCAGAGCCATCTTTGTTCAGGTATCACCCAGGGTCACCATCTACTCCCTGGACTGGGATGCCGGGGGTACCTATGTCTAGGCTCCTCGCCTCCACCTAGTGGCCATATTGTAGTATCACATCATAATACATTCCACCTGAAAAGAAGCCGATCTTCTCATTCACCTAACT